TAAAAATATTTATATTTTGAAATTATTTTCTATCTGTTATTTTTTATTTTCTGATTAACCATTTTTAATATATCACAAACATTTTGTCATTTCTATTATCCATATTTTTTACCACTTAATTTTATTGCAATATTTTTTCAATTTCATAATATTCTTTGCAGTGATCTAATTTCTAAATATCTGACTTATTCCTATTTCGCGCTTTTTCATAATTCTCTTTAATACCTCCGGTCCACCCACGAACCGCTGCCCAGCTTAGCGACCGACTAAGCTCCACTTTATTCACCTCAACTCGCCGCTTTATCTTGCCGCCGCCATCTGCTCCACTGAGACAAAAATAATCCACTTTTTTGTTGTAACTCATTTGCCACTCTGCTACCGCCATAATTCTGTATTAAAATTAGTTATGTTTGTAGTTGTTTTTATTCAATTGCTCGGACAGGGGCTTCTTGCTTGCTGTTAATTTGCTGCGCCGCCCTTGTTTTAGTTCGATTCTAAAGGCAAAGCGGCGTGCGCGTATATTTTGTAAAAAAATTTTGGCTCTCGAATTGTGAACTGTGCGTCATATTTATTTATTTTGTATATACTTTGTACATATATTTTTAATATTGAATTTTTTTGTTAAATAAATTGTTAAAAGTCTGTGCGGTTTTTAACGTGGAAAAGTGAGTGTCGAAAACACTTGTGAATACAGAAATTTGTATGTCAAACTAAGTAAATAGCTGAAAAAGAAATTTATATATGTATGTGGATTTATTTTATTTATTACGCGGTCTCTCTCACTCTACATTTATTGGCTATATTTTTTTTTCAAATATTTTTTACTGTTTTATATATAATTTTTTATTTCCCCCATTTTGGGTTTTTTTTAATAATCTTTATTTTCCTTATTTTTTTTTAAATATTTTTCTTCAACTTTTTCATTTTTTTATTATTATTACATTGTTTATACATGGTTATTGTAATTTTTTTATTATTACTCTGTTATTATTATTATATTTTCTACTTTTTTTAAATTTTTTTTCCTAAAGTGCCTCTCAAATGTCCAAACAAATTCATATTATAAACTTCAAAACTGCCATAGAAACTTTAAATTGGGTCAATGTCTCTTCAGTTGTTGTTTTTGCACCGCCGTTGCTACCGTTTTAAGCCGCTACTTTATTATTCTGCGGTTTATTTGTGCTGCTGCTTCCCATTGTTGCTGATTTATTAATTGTTTATGCACATTTTTCACCGCCTACCCTGCTGCTGGCATCGCTCCTAAGCGCGCATCTTCCGTTCACACGAAAAGCAAATAGCGAAAACGACATATCGTCTTGTTTTTGTTATTGGTATAATTTCTTTCTATTTCCTTGTTTGCAAAGAACTGTTTGAAATGCGTTCGGCTTTTGGCATTATTGTTAGTATTATTTACGTATGCTTATTTTTTTTATAACCACTGATTTTTCTTTATTCAGAGTCGCCTACTTTTCTTTATACTTTTCTTACTTTCGTAGTACAATTGTTTATTATTTGCGACTTGCGATTGTCTAGCCACTTGCACACAATTTTTTTTGTATTATTTAATTTTTTTTTCTTAAAATTTTTTTTTATATTTATTAATTATTTCTTTTTAAACTTTTTACATTCATATTTTTGATATATTCTGCGCTCATTTTGGTTAATTCTGCTTGCTACGTTCTTTTTTTTTTAATTTTTTGTAGTATTTATTTTTGATATTAAATTTTTTTATAGATAATTTTTTATTTTTTTTTTTCAAACACTTTTTATACTCTTACTGTCTCTTAAACCATAAAGAGCGTTTCACGCACTCAGCGCGCAATTATTCTTGCCTCTTAGTACTCCTTTTATGGCAACAACAGCGCGCACATCTTCAAAACAAACAGTAATATATAACAATTACTTTCTCCAGTGAACCAAAACAGGCTATTGCGTGAAATAATTGTAATGGAAATAGTTAAAATATAAAGTAAATTATATGCATTTGTCATTTTTATATTGTTGAAAATATATCTCTTTGTTATATGTCACTTTTCTACGAAAATTAACGTACTTGAGCTGCCATTTTCTGCACAATTTATGGAGTATGCGTCTTAGTTTTGGTTATTTCTGAGGCTTATAAGTTTTCATTGCCGTAACTCGGATATAATTCTGTTAAAAGTTACTAGTTCTACTAAAAATACCGTATTTGTACATACATCTTTGTGAGTTTTGACAGCTAAGACACTGAAAAACTTTAAGTTAGTGTTATAAGTAGGAATGATAGACTTCATAGACAGCCTTATCAACTTTGTACATATGTACATATATGTATGTATAGGCATATGTTATTTAATCAAAATTAACCCCTTAGGAGACGGAGTAGATCATAATAAACCAAAATTTTATTCTGATATCAAATCGAAAAAATTTAGTTAATATTTTATAGTCTCAAAAATAAATGTTGCTACCACCAAAGTGCTAGATTAACTGAAATAAATATCTTAAACACATTTCTTCCTAATAAATTAAGATAAACTATTGAAATGACAATAAACTGGCACCGGCAATATTTTGAGATTTAAACTGACATCTTCAATTTTTTGTCATTTCATACCAAAGTTATGTTATTATTTATTTTTTCGAAACTCTATATTTCACTAGGTTGTGCATTTAAGACAAAATATTTTTATCTTGATTGTAAGTTTTGTCATTAATTTTTAGAAATGAAAACTACATGACATTCCATGAATTGCAAGTTTTTCACTAGATTGTAAATTTTTGTAAAAAAATTATAATTATTTCTATATATGGCCAACAAATTGTTTCATAAATAAATTTTTTTGTCATTGTCATTAATTTTGACACGTGGAAACACTATTTTTCCACTAGATTGTCAATTTGGGTCAAAGAATGTTATAAAAATATGGAAGTAGTCAACAAATTTTTTCATAAATTGTCTTATTTTGACAAGTGAAAACCGCACAATACATTCCATGTGATTAACAAGCAGTTTTATGCTTTTTTGTAAAAAAAAAACTATTTATTTATTAGGTCAACAAATTATTTCATAAGCAGCATTTTGACAAATAATAACCACATATTACATTCCATGTGATTGACAAGCAAAAATCTTGCGATTTTCACTAAATTGTAAATTTAAGAGAAACAACATAACATGCCGTACATTTCATGTGATTGAGAAGTCTGAATTTAAAGTTTTTCATTACATATCAATTTGTATTGAAAATACTATTTAATTCAATAAATTGTTTCATAAATTATATTTTTTGTCCTAGTACTTAATTTTGACAAATTTAACCCGTACATAACACTTCTTGTGATTGACGAGCAGAAATATGATGCTTTTCGCTACATTTTTGAAATATCTTTTATAAATAAATTAAAAATTGAATGCCATTGTTTCAGCAACGACTGTCATTGATTTTGACGTAATGAAAACCGCACATTACAATCCACATGGTACACATTCGCCGCACACTTCGTGGAATATCTATTTTTAAAGCTGTAATCACAAGAATTAAAAGTTTGCCACTTGAGGTTTGAAGATCGGGTTTCGCATATCGTATAATGTTAAAGCCACAAATTGCTTGAGAAAAAATACAAAAATATAATTTTTTTACTCTTTAAAATAACTTTCGTTTAAATTTTTATTAAAATCTCATACCTTGCAAGCACTTTCGCACCTGTAAAGGTTTCCAC